TCTTTTCTCATATTCTCATTCACTTCTCTTCTTTCTCTTTCAGTTTTTATTTTTTTAATTTTTTTGTCTCTCTTTATAAAAAAAATCAATATAAAATTGTTAACGTGGTTTAATCGTAACCGTTTAAATAAAAAGAAAAGAAAAGAAAGAATGATTAGAAGGAAAAAGAATTCACTCAAGCCTGTCCTATTATAATGGATTAGGTGCTCGTAATTTTCTTCTATTTTAGCATGACAACAGTCAATCGTGGCTGCACATTTTTTGACATTGCAAAGTACAACCTCATAAAACAACTTCAAGTAATATCAACGAAATTTGTCAATACTCTTGGCCACTTTCGTGAGCAACACATAGTATTGCTGCATTGTACCTAACTACAAATTAGATTTGGTTATCATAAAATACATAAACTAATTAAATAAAATAAGTAAGTGATTAAAATTGAAGGAAACACACAACAGGTCGAAGAAGCTGCACTCGAGTATGAATCACCCATCACAGTTTAGATTAGTCTAATGTGAAATAAAGGGATTAGCTACCATTCTTGCATACATGTAAGTCTTGTAGCAAAATTCGTGAAGTATGACTTGAATTAAAATTAAAAAAAAAATAAAAGTGACATGCCGTCCTAAGATTTATTGTATTTTATTCTCAGTAGTAGTGAAATTATCAAAATACCCCTGAGATGCCACATAGGCCTTCCACGTGGACCTCAATTTTCCTTTCACTTTTCCCATCTTATTTTACTATTTTCGAATAGTACTCATTTTTACGAACACATGGCCGCAGACGAAACTCAATTCGAAGTTATAATGAAGCAGTTGTAACAAACCATCCAAAATATTACGGTTTTTAAAATTTTAAAGCATGAATTTACAAAAATGCCCTTCAAAGTGAAAAACGTTGACTTTTGTTGATTGCCTTGTCGTATCACATGAGATTCTTTTCCATGGTGTATCCTTGTAATACTTGTCGCTACGAGCACGTGGGCTCAAGCGGAATCGAATTTGGAGTTAGAACGGAGATTTTATGGAATTCGAAATGTATGGGCATTATGGTAATTTTACGTTTCGCTAGATATTTTCCCCGTTTCGTCTTTTCTTACTTTGTTTGGTGTGCCAGTAAGGCCTACCCCTATTTTGGGTTGTCGCCTGGCCCACTCTCTTTCCTCCCCCTTTTCTTTCTTTTTTTTTTTTCTTTTTTTCCCACGTAAACTTCTCTATTTTGAACTCTTTCTACTTTTCTCTCCCTATCATCTTTACACTCTTCTCTCCTTTCCGTACACGAACACACACACATAAATAAATAGTGACGACACCACCTCCACCACCACCATTAGCCTCGCCACTCCGGTAAGCAACATCACCATCTGTGGACCCTCCCTCCTCCCTTTCTCACATCTTTTCAATCTCACTCCCTCTCTCTCTTGACAGTCACTGTGCATCATCTTCCCCGACCAGCCATGGTGAGTCCTCGCCATCCCCGATGCAGGTAAACTCCTAAAATCTTCTAGATCGTGTTCTAGGTTAGATTAGGGTAGTTGGTAAGTGTTAATCGAGTGTTAAATGCAGGAAATATCTCGGAAAATTTTCCCTGATTTCTGGAAGTTGAAACCATGGCCATTTGGCCACTTTTAGACCCTTTTTCCGGCTAACTCCGGCTATGTCACAGCTTCCAATGGGTGTGTATTGATTCCCTATATTCTTAACTTCATTTAGGTTCTTATATCACTGAAATTGGTTAAGAATCGAGCTTGAAATGAGTTCTGAAAGTCGGCCTGAAACATGCAAAATCCCCGGCCTCACAAGGAAGGCGAGTACGCTCGTACTCACGAATGTGTGAGGCTGTGCGTGGGCTGTGCTTGACGCGTAGGGTGGCATGTGGTGACCTGGGCCACCGCCCCATGGTGGCACGTGGCGCGTGGAAGAACTCGAGGTCCTTCCTTAGGTTTTTCGACGTGCCAAATCCAAATCCGCTATCCGTTTTCCCAAATTCAATCATTTTAGTATAGTTTTATTAAATCGTTTCTATTTGTGTTTAGGTGCGTCGGTTGGAAGTGACCTCGTCCTCCCTAGTTCGAGTGGCTCCCCGGTAGCGAAATATTTGTGAATGGACCCTTTCTCAAATTGCATGATTTTTTATGAAATGCTAGGCTTGCATTCACGAAAGCATGATTTCATGATTTTAGGTTTTATGCATTATTTATGATTTATTGAATTATGTTTTACGAAACGTTATGAATTATTGGATTACGCGTATGATATAGTACGAATTTACGAATATGATTTATTATGGTTTAAGAATTGATGCTTTGAGCTTTTGAGCTCTAGAGATTTGATTTGCGTTTCTGAGATACATTTTCGGTGCTTATCTAGTGGGTTATCATACAAAACATACACACAACATGAATATGTATACATCTATGGCCATAGGACACAATTAAGGATATTTATGACATACTCCCAACTTCACTAGCAAAACTAGTGTCGAACAGCTTCACTAGCCACAACTAAAGTCGGTGTGTTATGTTATGTATATGTTTCTTATATGGCGTAACCCAGAGTCGTACAGCTTCACCTTCGCGTGATGGGACCTACCATATTTCTTCACTAGCGTAACCCAGTGTTGTACAGCTTCACCTTCGAGTGATGGTTATGCATGCGGGCAACTATGATACTGATAGGAGCATATTTATGCGACTTAGTTAGCTTGTTCTTGTGCATTTACGTTGTATTTCCTTAGTTATTTTAGTGTTCAAAGTTATTTTAGTGTTCAAAGTTATTTTTGTGTGTTTTCAGACTCTAAGTACAAAGTATGCAAGAAGATGCATTTTGGAGGCCTTTGGAGCATGTTTCGGGCTTGGAATGGATAGCAAATGCATGGGCCAAGTGGATGGACGAATTTGAGAACTAAAGAGGCCAAGAATATGAAGAATTATGGTCCAAAAGATGAAGAAAACAGCCCAAAAATCTGTCACCCCAACTTGCATTCCTTGCCATGCAAACCACATAGAATTCCCTTTGGATTCCATGCCATGCTTGATCACTCTTGTCCCCTACATAATTTCTAATTTCATGCTTCAATTCATTTAATTATTACACTCAATTGCTTGATACCTCTTGTTCCCTTCACTCATTAGATTTTAGACAACATTTACATCAATTACATGCACCAATTGATGCTCCATCATTCACATTTGGAATCCAATGCCATGTGCAACACATGTTGTTGCACCTTTGACCCATTTGTTGACACATTTCACCTCCATTTCCATCTCTATGCAATGTACACAATCATTCATGCTCCCTAGCTACAACACCACTCCATTTTACCCTTCACACTTTGCATCATTACTTCATTTTCACCCTTGGACCATTGCACACCACACACACAAATTGCCATGCATTTCATCCTTAACCTAACCTGATTTTCTAAGGTTTTTGGGGCCTATAAATACATGTTTACACCCCTTGGCCAAAGGACAATCCCCCATATTCATCATTTTTATCACAAAAATTCGTCCATACACACCCTAGGAAGCAAAACACCCCAAAAACACCATTCTAGTGCCTAGAAAACATAACAGCCACTCCACCTTCTTCCACCCTCTTTGCCTAGTTCTCCACCACCCTCCAACCATCAAACACTCCTCCACACTCACCCTAAACCCTTCCATACCATTCCCCATCCATTCTACATCATAAAACTACCCAAAATCTGTCCATAACCCAATCTGCCGCAAGCAAGGGAAAGAAGGAATCTTGGATGCACTTGCTACCAAGTTGGAGCATTTTAGGTGTTTTCTTTCCTTTGATGTTAATGTCTAATTTTATGTATCTTTGCTTTGTGAGTATGAGGAACTAAACCCCTCTTAGTTAGGGGGTGATTCGAAACTATGTTCATACTTGCAATATGATTTGATTACATCTAGTTGTGATTCATAAGTTGTGAATTCAATTTACTTATCCGTTCATATAAAAACTAATTTGTGTATGTTGGTTAAGAGTGCACGTTTAATTTTCATGCATGAATTTGACGCTAGAATATAAGGGAGTTTCACCTAATCGTTATAAACTTATATTCACAAGTAGTGAAGGTTGCTAGTCACAATCACGTTAAGTAAACTCTTGGCATAAGTTTCATGCAAATCATAGTAACGAGTGCCTCGTCAATGCTTATGTTTTTCATAGAACTTAATGATTCTTGCTTGTATCTCTATTATGCAATTCATGTAGGGAACTTGTAGGGAATGTTTTGGGTTGTCGTATGCAATCATCCAACCTAATAACTTGTGGAAAAAACTGAGGGTTAATTAGTGCAATTCACGGTTAATTTGGGGCGTTGAGTATTCATAGCTTATCGAAAAGCAACTGGAAATCGTTTTGTATGCAAGTGTGACATATGTGGAGAAGAACCTCCTAGCTAATCTTCCATCCATAAGTTTCATTCAAATTCACTTACAATCTGTTTTGTTTTACAAAGTTTGTTTTGTTTTCAAATTCATTAAAACCAAAATCCCCCTTTTACTTTATTGTTTCAAAGTGTTTAATTTCTGTTTTGGTTGTGTGTTAGAGTGTTTTGATTCACCCAAATTTGTCTAAGAATTTGTTTACTTTGTTCTTGTCTTAATTTAATTATTTTCGTCGAAAATCAACCCCATCTTATTTCTTTGAGTCATATTAATTAGAACTTGTCTTAGATTATGTTTTTAAGTGTTTTAGTTCATTAGAAAACCAAAATTTGTCCAAGTTTGTGTGAGAGTCCCAAAATTGCCCAGATTGTGTTTTTAAGGTAGTTTTGAGTGTTTAGGGGCTGTTTTGAGTCTTTTGGTTTGTTTTAGTGTTTTAAAGTATAGTTTTGCATTCTTTGAGTCTAGTTAGTGTTTTAAACTTTGTTTTCACGTTTTCAAGTCAGTTTCCAAGTGATTTAGCAATCCCTCCTAATCCCCGGCCTAGAACAATCCCTACTTACATACTTTACTACAATTGATAAAAAGAGGGTTTAATTTGTGTGCTTAGTTATTTTACGCATCAGATACCCCTAGTTGAGTACAACATTTATGTGATTTACAGATGTTTTATGGATTTACCTTCGGGCGAATGTCTTTCATGGCATGCTAGAGTTTACACATACATATTTTATGAATGTCTTTCATGGCATGCTAGAGTTTTCAGAAAACCTACTATGTAGTACTATATGAGTTTTCAAAACAAGGGGTTAGTATGTTTAGAAAGAAAATGGTTTTCTCATTATTAGTATTATTATTATAAACTTTGGTCTACTCACCCTTTTGTTTTGAGCCCCTTTCAGGATTTAAAATTGAGGCACACGATCTTGGCGTCAAGGCACTCCCGTATCAGTAGCTTTGAGCTTCTTTCTCGGTGTAGGACCCACTTTTTTTGTAATCTCATTTATTTTAAAATATTCCTTTTGTACTCTACTTGATTAGTTGTACGAACATGTTCCTGCAATTGCATACTTAATTATATTCAAATTTACATATTTTATTTACGTTCGTTCTTTCTATATAACTTGCAGGCATGTTTAAATGGCTTCATCACCCTCGGGTGTCGACCAACACGTGCCTATCCTGGTATTTGGATATTGCGGTTGTCAATTTGGTTTCAGAGCATACTTAGGATCTTCTCCTACCCTATTAGTGTGTCGGCTTTGATGTCATGGCTTCTGTTTGTTGATGCCATTCGGCACGGTTGTGCAATTCTCATTTTGCCTGAATAGTCACATCCTATTTGAAGCATAAGAAATTTGTGTCGGGATTGTGCCTCAAGTTTGGTGTAATTGATTGATGGACGACTTTCAAATCGGACTGATACTTTACGACTTGCGTTCCCTAGCAATGGCAGGCAGAGTCATACCTATATGGAGATTGCTCGAAACACCCGAAGTTCATGTTGGAGAAAGTAGGAAGCACTAGTTATAAATGAAGTTTAGCAAGTGTCAGTTTAGGAAAACCAAATCAATTTTCTCGGGCTTGTTGTTTCTGCCGAGGGAAGTCGTGTGAACCCTCAGATGAATTCTCAATGATTGCATTGTCTCTTAATAAGTTGACGAATGTTCCGACAACACTTATGAATCGAACAGATTAAGTATTCCACTCTTTTTTTTACGGATTCATGATTGTCTTATCAATAACCTTCTTGTTTACTCTAACAACGGGGTCAAATTTACTAAACATCAACAACCAACTTTATACCAAATTCCTTAAATGTCAACCATGCTTAGTTTACATACCTTTGTTGGGAAACGTGAGTATAGCAGAAGATATTCTTATTAAATCCAAGGTTGCAACTGTAGAAAATCGACAATCCTCACGAGTGTTATGAATTACGAAATACCATTGGTCTTGTTGATTTATATTGACAATTGTCAACAATTCTTTGACCATAACCCAATCCCCATGTTCGGCTAGGAAAAAAGTTAGTTTTATTTGAGATGTTAATTGTGAACAAGATTTCTGACAACTGAAGTGTTTTCTCACCCGACCACTGTTTCTACACCTTTCAATGACATCGATCAATTTTGAATCCTACGGTGACATTTTACTGAATGTTTAGCTGCTTGTTGACGCAACATGATCGAGTAATGTGTGTGTCTCTCGATTGCTAGAAATGCACAAAGTGAACCGTCATATCTACAACCCTCAGTCAATAACTACCATTCTTACTTGGAAAACTTAATGACACCCCTCCATGGAGACTTTGGTAATGATTCGATGTTTGTCGACCAACTTACTTGGTGTACTATCCATCAATCTATGAAGACTATACCTTGAACCATTTGGCCGAATTCCTCTTTTTTGAATTTTTCAGACTTTCTGATGTTTAGGTTCAATCGGCCCAGTTCGTAATCCCAGATTCACCTCTTGGTCCTAACAGATGTTTTTGTCATTCCTGGATTACCCTACTGCTTTTTGTATCATTTCTGAAGTAGCCAAACTGTCCAGATGAACCACTAAGATGTGGACGTTTTTAGTTGAGATCGTCAGACAGAATCGCTCAATCAACACCCTATCAAGCAAATCGTCATCATTGGTGATTGAATATCCATGTAGTTACCGTTGTAGCAAGTTGTTGTGAATTTTGGTTTGGAGAAAGCCCAGGTTCCTGTTTGTCAGTTTTCATTAGACTACCATTCAAGTTGAGCTAGCGTTCGACCATTCAAATTATTACCATATAACCAAGTTAGGATCTTACACACATTCAAGCGGTAGAGTTATATATTCAATCCAGATATCTTGTACTCTAGATTTAATGGATTGGTTTTGACCCTTAAACTCTTAAGTGTTCGTTTAGCCTTCTCAACATGGTTTCTCACCAAATCTGTGAGGAATTCACGATGGATCGACTTGGATGAAATGTGTACCCAATTTCATATCAGTACCAACGGGACCATTAGAAGCATAAAACTTTCACAAGCCCACCAGACTTACCAGGACGAGTTCCAAGTGGTCTTGAAGATTGAGCCGTCTTTTAGTAAGGAATTAGTGAAGGTAGAATTGTAGGTTCCGAGCCTAGTGATTGTGGGGGCAGTTTCTGTGAATGGTTTGAAGTAACAACCATTATTCGAAGGAAGTGGTCAGAGTGATAGTTCCTCTAATATAGGTTTTGAATCCTGTACCTCTCGATCGGGAGAGCAATCACCGTGCTTAGTCATGAAAGAAATTTTTTACAACAAATGTTCATCTCTACGTATCATTCAACTATTTCGCTCCAAGACTTTATTATTCATGTGTACATGGATCTCGAAGCACTTCTAGCAGCTCTGATTCGTCCGTTTTGGGGTAGTGTGGGAGCACGATTGAGGCGTAAATAGAACGATCTAGGCACATTCTCACATTAAGGGGCAAAATGGTATTTTGGCACCCTCAGGACTCGGGAACTTCTCACTTGCTTACTGAGACATCAATGAGTTATTGGTATTATGGGCTGTAGACTGTAATATCGAGGGCTTATTTGTTAGGTTCGCTAAGCAAGTGGGCAAGTTAGCCTATCTACAATAGTAGTTATTAATTCGTTATGGTTTAGACTGAACCCAAGACACACAGACCTATTCTTGGAGTACGTGACATTACGAATCAAGGCCCATTTTCATTTTTGGTTTTGATTTTCAATGAAAATATTTTAAATTACATTATTATATGTATATGTGTATTTTTTACATTACAAATTTTGGGTGAGTCATTTCCACTTTCGATTTTAAACTCAGTACAAGTATTTGAATCCTACATTAGTATATATCTATTTTTGTTGTCATCTTATTATATGTAAATATTTTTAACCTTATGTTATTACATAATAATATGTATTTTCAACTTTATTTTTCTTGTAAGTATTATACTATACTATATTATTGTGGAAGGAAGAAGGTATAAGCTTGGAGGCATGAAAGAGGAATCATTGCAATCTGATCGCAACGGAATGGCATTCTCCTTTAAGCAGCTGCTCTAACTTGATTTCTTCTGTATATATTTCTTCCTATTTTCTAGTATTTTATGTATAGCAAGTTATTGCAAAATTTAGGGACGAAATGTTTTTAACAGGGGTAGATTGTAACGACCCATCCCAAATATTACGGTTTTTATAATTTTAAAGCATGAATTTACGAAAATGCTCTTCGAGGCGGAGAACGTTGACTTTTGTCGCCTTGTCGTATCACATAAGATTTGTTTCCATGGCGTATCCTTATAGTACTCGTCGCTTCAAGCATGTGGGCGTAGGTGGAATCGAATTTGGAGCTAGAAAAGAGATTTTATGAAATTCGAAACGTAGAGTCATTATGGTAATTTTATGTTCCGCGAGATATTTTCACCATTTCGTCTATTCTTACTTTGTTTGGTGTGCCATTGGCCCACCCTTGTTTTGGATTGTCTCCCGGTCCATTCTTTTTCCTCATTTTCTTTATTCTTTTTCTTTTTTCCCCCGTGGACTTCTCTCTCTAAAACTCTCTCTATTTTTCTCTCCCTCTTATCTCTGCACCCTTTTCTCCTCTCCGAGCACGGACACACACACACACACACACACAAACAAATAGCGACAGTACTGCCTCCACCATCACTAGCCTCGCCACTCCGACAAGCACCATGACCATCTGTGGACACTCTCTCCTCCCTTTCTCACCTCTCTTCGATCTCACTCCCTCTCTTTCTCAACAATTATATGCATCATCTTCCTCAACGAACCACAGTGAGTCCTCGCCATCCTCGATGCAGGTAAGCTCCTAAAATCTTCTAGATCGTGTTCTAGGTTAGATTAGGGTAGTTGGTAAGTGTTAATCGAGTGTTGGATACAGGAAACATCTTGAGAAAAGTTTTCCAGATTTCTGGAAGTTGAAACTGTGGCCATTTAGCTACTTTCAGACCCCTTTTCAGGCTAACTCCAGCCATGTCACGGCCTATAATGGGTATGTATCGATTCCCTACATTCCTAACTTCATTTAAGTTCTTATATCACTGAAATTGGTTGAGAATCAAGCTCGAAATAAACTCTAAAAGACGTCCTGAAACCTACAAAATCCCCAGCCTCGCGAAGAAGGCGAGTACGCCTGTAATCGTGGGCTCGTGGGGCTGCAGTGCTCGACGTGTAGAGTGCATGGGCCTCCACGGGAGGCATTGTGTGCGCCAGAGATTTTTTTGGCGACCCATCTCAGCGCATAGGGTGGCGTGTGGTGACTAGGGCCACCGCCCCATGGCGGCGCTTGGGGGAACCCAAGTTCCCTTCTTAGGATTCTTAGGATTTTTGACGTGCCGAATTCGAATCCGCTGTCCGTTTTTCCAAATTCGATTGTTTTAGTAATGTTTTATTAAATTGTCTCTATTTATGTTTAGGTGCGTTGGTTGGAAGTGACCCCGTCCTCCCTAGTTCGAGCGGCTCCCCGGTAGTAGAATATTTGTGGGTGGACCCTTTCTCAAATTGCAAGATTTTTTTTTATTAAATGCTAGGCTTGCATTCACAAAACCATGATTTTACATTTTATGCATTATTTATGATTTATCGAATTATGTTTTACAAAACGTTATGAATTATTGGATCTACGCGTATGATATATTACGGATTTACGAATATGATTTATTATGGTTTAAGAATTTATGCTTTGAGCTTTTGAGCTCCGGTGATTTGATTTGAGTTTTTAAGATACATTTCAGGCCATTTTTTGAGCATCTTCGACCAACGTATGGCCTTAGAATGGGCATATCCTTATTCCTCTCGTCCTCAGTTTCATTTTGGTATATTATGGGTCAAATTTGATTGTGTAATGGCTCCGAATGGGGCATTTAAATTTCTTCCCAAAATTTCGACGAAAATCCCGTTCTTTTGCTGGAGAAATTAGGTTTATTACATTAATTAATATCAGTTTAGTGATTAGTGTAGTAATTTTTCCGTTTAGGAGTAGACCACCTGGAGGAGTACCGCGGTCAAAATAGTTGGACGGCTTCTACCTACATGTATCTATGAGTGGGTCTTTTCGTTTTTACTTATATATATGTAAATGTGATTTTTTTTTCCCAACAACTGCTTATATATATTATGATATGACATACCATGTTTAGCTTTACAAATAGACTTTCCATACACTTTATGTTTCTAATATTATTTGTGAGCATAAACTTGTGGCATGACATCTTTGCGTTTTATCTACTCATTATTACATGTTTGCACGGTGTCTCTTAGTTATTTGTACTTTCCTGGGCCAAAGACCAGCTTCACGTGTAGTTCACATGCACCGTTTACATTCGCTTTAGACCCAGAGTTAAGTGCCAGCCTATCATTTTGTATGATGTTTTGGACTCATATGTAATGTGACTAGCACTGCTCACGTGATGTAGTACCAGAATATAAAACCTACACCCAGCATGTTCCATTTTCTAAATAACTCACCAATGGACTTGTGTGCCAACATAAATTAATGAGCATTTCTTTCTTGTAATAACATTTTCAAATTTAATGTTAAGATACCTTGTTGGTGTACCCTACATCTTTTCACTCACTTCTACTGCAGGGTACCGTATTACATACTAGTATTATAATATTTTTAGGAAACCATATAATTGTTTTATAGCGAGGGGTTACACTTTTTGAAAAGGTTTTACAAACATTATTTTCAGGCCCA